CCGTATTAGGCTAAAGATCGTACGGATCACCGAAACACAATCGACTAAGTCGCACTATGTAGATGTTGGGTTCATGCGAGACATGACGGGTTTTTGCAGCGCTGGGCCGCTGTGTCGCCTCATGACGGAATTATGCACTTATTGTTACGTAGTTGCGCCCTGATCAAAAAGTCGTAAACAATGCGAGTGCCAGCCACGCTCTTCGACTTCCCAACTGCAAATCGTCAACTATTTATACAGCCGCACTCTTGCTCACTATATGTAAGCAAAAATGCTCACACAAAGATAGCTGTCAGCAAGCTGTATGAAGCAGGATGTGGATTGGATGTGTTGAACATTAACCGGCTAGTTACGAAAGATGTATTAAATGTAAGATATCGAGGAGAATTGAATGACGACAATGGGACAGGCGGCTATCACGTGAACGAACCGAACTGCGATATGTATGTGCTCGGCCAAACGAATTCGCCATCCGCAAGACCCAACCTAATTCGGGGATCGGAATGAAAGCAAAACCATTTCGGCACCGATCAAAAGTGGCTTCCCCGTCATCCCACTAAGCACTGAAAGTGACGATTTCTGATAAACACTAGTTCTGGGACGACAGTGTTGTGCAGCCCCTCTACGCATTCGTAAGCTAAGCGGGCGGCCGAGCAAGTGATCTTTGATCCATACAAGATTGTGCGTTTTCTCGCTCACACGCTCATTGCAGGAACACCATTGAACAGGATTGTCTGCCAATGCTCCTGCGACTAACACATTAGAAGTGCTAGCACATGACACAAAGGGTTGAGAGTATGTTGGCAATCAAAGGCGAAGTCGATGTCATCAACTACATAAGAAAACTGCATACGTACTCGGCGAAAAAATGCACGTTATCAGTAGCGCCGCGACGCCGAATCCGAAGATTGACGAGAAGGCATAAAAGCGCTGCGAGAGCAGGGCCGTTACAGTAAGCTTGGAAAGCGGCCAAAACGAAGAATAAGGCGTGCCGATTTGCGAATACTGACAAAAACAGCTACGTCTGCTTGTTGGTCGTTAAGCGAAGGCATCGAAAAGGTATCGCATAAGTTGGCAGTTTGCCAAGATGAAAGTGATGACGTAAGTAAGCATTAACATGATGCGACACAGAAAGAATTGCAAGGGAAGAAATGGCCTCATCGTACTATAGGAAATGATGTCATTTTTTTCTCAAAAGTTAGGAAGTGCTAAATTAAAAGTGAAAAGCTCCTAGTTATAAAAAAACAATAAAATAAAATCACGATTGCCGACAAATCTTACAAAAAAAAACGAACAAAACGTCAGGAAAAGAAGATAACTAAATCAAACGCTGTTTTGAAAAATCAAAATAAGAAGATGAACTCAAACAAGGAAAATCTTTTCAAATGTGCGCCATTGTTAGCAGAAAAATATGTGCTATGCACATACTCGTTTGAATATAGTGTTGCAAAAGGAATTGTTAAGAAGATTTTTAAAAAATACCAATAGAGGGTAAAATACAAATGGCCACCGCTACATGATGTAGAACTCCGATAATGATTCATATTGGACAAGTAAATTTGAACGCATAGCTGCAAGGGCTAAGAAACTTTGGTATTTTGAATGTAGTAGTTAATAATCTTCAATGGCCTTCGTACGTGATCGTTACCGCATGAGAAGAGGATGCATAAAAATTGTTGAGGAGCGTGAGCGATGAGGATGAAGGAGATGAAACTCTTACCAGAAAGTGTTGATTGCCTGCCAAAGCGGACAACTGTTGATGAGCAGCTAGTTGAGTGGCGGCCGGCGTTTGGACTGCAACGGGAGGCCCGTTCGAGCCTCCAGGAGCTGGAACCCCTGGCTGTGGTGGAAGGCCTCCTCCGCCACCGGAGACGAAAGCCATGCAGTTCCTTTGTCCGAAAAAAAGAACGAAGCATTCCCATTGCATTCTATTACCTCATCTTCTTACAATGTTTGTTCGCACACGCGCAATGATTTGTAAACATGAGAGAAGTTAGAAAAAGGAGAATTGCTAAGTCTTGGAAAAGTTTATTTGTGTATTCAGATGGAGGTGCCATGAAGACCTAAAAGGAGTGAAAAAGCAATGTTTGATAAAAGGGGGA